TAGTTTATTCCGATTGAGAGGCGGTGACAACGACGATCACTTTGATTGATTACTCCATCGGCCATGCAGTTGCTAGTAGCGAATTGCTCGTTGATGTCTCCGCCTCCGCGTGTTGAAATAACAGAGATCAGTTGCTGATCCGCCTAACCAACGCTACAACCAGCTGCACTGCATGCTCCAGAGCATTCTTAGCAGTGAAGCTACCTGATTATTTCAGCATGCTTCTCTCTCTCTCTCTTCCTCTTCCTCTCTGGAGAGAGAAAGAGAGAAAGAGAAAAGTTGACAAAAAAAATCATAGAGAGCTGGCTGTTTGGAGTTTTCCATGGAATAGCAGGCGTGGAGGGCTGCGAGTCCAAGGGAAAATGGCGGCGGCTCCACCTCCTCTTTGCGCTGTTTCATGAGAAGGGGCGCGCCTTTTGGAAAGGGCTGGCCGGGCGCAGATGATAGTGGCTTACAGTTTGACAATTCAGCCATCTTTCAATAATTGCGTCCCTAGTACACCGGCGTCGCTGTTTTCTTCTTCACATCAGGCTGTCTCCGAGAGACCTTTTGCGAAATCAAATGGTCTCGAACGTAATATCTATAGTTTTGAGGAGAATATCTATACGAAAGACTCATTTAAGGTGTTAGAAGAGGTATATCTAAATTCGAGTATCTCTCTCTCAAGACTCATCTACAGAAAGGGTTGTTTTTTGTCTTGTCGTTGGAGAAGACCAAAAATAAATATTAAACTATTAATCTATAACACTATCCAAAAGACAAAAATAGATATTGAACTATTTCTCTATAGCGCTAAAAAAAACGAATAGGTACCGTCTTGCTACCCAGCATGTGTGAACGTGGCTAACCACCTGGTAAACGACTCTGAAACGTGTGGTCTCTTCATCAAAAAGGGTTGGAAAAAGATCTGAGCTGTTAGCTGCTGAAGAACTATCCTGGAAAAGAACTGATGACGAAGAACTCGAGTCTTAGCTACCTGTCCCTCCTCTGATGCCTGCTACATATGGGTTCAGGCTCCGGGGGATGACCATCGTTTGTTTGACTAATAATGTTTTCCTTTTTGTCCTCTTTTTTTTCATATCCCTAATTTCAGTTAATCATTAGACTACATTTTCGGGAGCAGGTCAGCTTATTCAAATGCTTTAATTATTTCAGTCTTTCAAAAAAATGGAAGTCGGTGTATACATTGTTTGTAGCAATCTATTTTTTTATAAGTTTTGTTTTTGATAAGGTGTAGCAATCTATTGGGTGTACCAGCAAGCAGTACTAGTGTACTAATACACACCCCAGTAGGTTAGCTATTTCGATAAAAAGAAAGACTTTTTTTTTTGAGAAAGATAAAAGAAAGAATTGAAAAGAGCACATGGAGCAAGGAAAAGCAAATGAGCCCGGTTTGGCGAGATCAGGGCCCAGAGTGCCCTAAAGTCCTACTAATTCCTAAACTAGGGTTGCTTTTGTTTGTCTTTGAAGGATGGAATGGAACTGCTTTTTTCCCTCTCTACAGTTGCACCATGGGAGTTGAGAGGGGACACATGTTGGGGAGCACCAGCCCACTTGCCCACCAAGCCTGCTAGATAGCTAAGCCCTCTCGAGGTGATTTTTTGTTCGGTGCACCAGGTGACAGGTGTATACTAATTAGTAATATAAGAGAGGCTTGTTTGAAATTTAATTAAACCTGACATGAATACACCCATGATGAGTAGTAGGCTCCAAAAGGGCACTCACGAGAGGCATGCATGCATTCCTTAGCATCCACTGCAAACAGTGGGCTCCGGCCCTAAATCAGCCATAAAAGTCGGGCGTTGATGAATTCCCTAAACCCCGAGCACGAAAGCAGGGGTTAGGAAAAGAAAGGAAGAAACAACAGAAGAAGCACAGTACTACTTCTACTAGTCCCCCCTTGTTCTTGTATCTTCGAGCTCATGAGTGCCAGCTGCTACGTGCTTTGCCCAAAGCCATTGTTGGCCCTGTTCTTTCATTACGAAACATACGTGCTTTTGTTGCGAGAAAAACACTAAGCTAATTTGAAAAAATTGTTGCCAATAGCTGTGCCCATAGCTATATGCAACTATTACAAGCAAAAAGGGAGGGAAAAAGAACACGAACACGACCAAAGTAAGGACGTTAGCAAATGAATTCCTCGCTTGCATGGCATTTCTAGGCCTGGCCATCACTTTTCTTCTTTCGACAGAAAAAAAAATTAATGAGAAACGGAAAATGCTTGAGATATGACGTTGTGTTGTGTTTGCATTGTTCCTCTCTGGAAATTTTCCAAGACGTGTAGAAAACCAAAGGCTACGCTGGTGTTGTTGCAGGGAAGCAACATGAAACCGGGTTCTGGAAACAGGGACGCGCGGCGGCAAGACCGCAAGAGGTATCTCTGTTTCTCACACAGAAATGTTTTTGTTGCCAGGTACATTGCTCATACACATGTTCTTTTTTTTCTCCTCATCCCAACAATTCCTTTCCTACTGAATTTCCTAATACAAAATAAAGTATATATATGAACACATGCATGGAAACTTCCGTATAGCAGGTGCGTACGACAGACTTTTTCTACGATCCGAACAAAGCCTGGTCTTATCGGTTTGTACAGTTATACGTGCCCCTAGTTTACTCCAAAGTAGCGAAGTACATACATACGACAGTATTGTTAATCATATATATACATATAATGTATTTCTCTGACAATGTCTTCGGAAAACAAATAGAATTCGCTGATCTGATAGATGATGCCTTTCTTCACCTTACTATATATATATATATATAATCCATATATATATATATATATATATATATATAATTTTTTGACATCAAGTTTGGAAAACAAATAGCGTCTTATTAAAAAATTTATGTAAAATTCACTTCTTGTCGTAGTTTGGTTTATTAATTAAAATTCTTCAAGAATGACTTAAATTTGACTATATTTGCACAAATTTTTTGAATAAGGCAGTGGTCAAATTTGGCTGCAAAAAAGATGATGCCTTTCTTACAATTTGGGATGGATGTAGTAGTTTATACTTTATATATGTAGTTGCATGCCATGTGTGGTATATATATATATATATATGATGATGCCCGTATCCCGGTGTGGTAATTTCGCAGCGTATTAAAAGCAGGCGCTTTTTTTTTTCTTGGTGCTGTTTCGAGCTGGCCAGGCGAAGCGGGCATGCACTGCACGCTAGCTGCAGGTGTGTGTGAGTGCTGTGCTTTAGGTTTTGTTCAGCCAGCCGCTTATTTTACTCGCTAGATTAACTTTTATTTTGTAATGCCAGTTGGACCATAGTTAACTCATTCACCGATCACCACTCAGGGACGCCATTATTAATGTAGTTCTTTTCTCTTCAATACTAGTAGGAGGCAGTGCAGCCTTTCCTCTTCAATCTTCAGACGCCAGTTTTTTCTTTCCCCAGAGCAGATGATCAGCTGCTTCCTTCCTTACTTCAGCATTTGACCTGTGTGTGTTGCTGAGTGCCTGATCGTGGGTTTGCAACGACTTTGTTAGTACTAATTTGCAGCCGCAGCATGCAAATGCATTGCACTGTCATTAACAATCCAGTATGGTTGTGTGACGTGATCCACTCAACTGCTACTGCCTTGTTAAATCTGCAGTAGGGATATACATATATTCAGCACTGTATATGTAGCTGATGACACTCTGAAACTAAGACGTGTACTTCTTTGAATCGTCAGACACACGAATATATAGGGAGAAAACATACAGCTCTATATATCAAGTGATGTGTAAGGAAAATCATCTGAGATATGTTCTCATTCATTAATCTCTACTACACACACTAGCTCATTACTATGCATGTAACTGTAACATGTATGTCAATTTGTTTTGTAGAATGACGTCGATGATCTAGCATGCATTTGGGGCGTACATAAGAACTTGCAGGAAACTCGATGATACATCGTAGTAATAATAATAATAGGAGTAATTTTGATGCAAGTTTCCTAGAGACGGAACTCTGCAGTTCGCGTAATTAAGCCCTATTGTTTATCTAGCTATATACTATATTAGCTACCTCCGTTCATTTTGAAAAGACACAGACGTATACCAAAATTTAAATTTAAAATTTTCATTTTTAATAATAATTTGGCTACAATTTACTATCGATTATCATATAAACTTATAAGTATGAACAATCTAATATATTTTTTCTTATAAAACGTATAAAGTAAAATCAATAAATGGTAAAAATGACAATTTGAAAAACCGAGATATCTTGAACTGCACCTGCGCGGTTGGGGGTCGAGGTGGTCACTGCCTGCCTGCAAAAAAGATGGACGGATCGAACTTGCAAGTTGCAAAGGCTCGATCACTCGATCAGGCGCCATGATACTAGTATATACCTACCGTCTTCTTTGGAAGCTTCCTGGAAGGCGACTTAATCACTTGTTAATAGCCGTACCACCACACACTACCTGATATCGATCATTAGCCAACGTGGTGAAATGATTAACCATCTACTGCCACTTTTAACGCTTTAGTTTCCCCGGTGAGGTAATAGACGTACCGTTCCAGCGTTCCTCCTGAATCCTGAATTTTTTGTGCACGGACACGTATCGTCATTCACGAGTCACGGCTCCATCTTCCCTGTACCAAACTTTTATCTCGCGCGCAGACAGACGCAGGCCACCATGGTCCATGGTCCCGCTCACGCCCGCCCTGCCAAATCGTCGCTCACCTCACGCTTCCCCCTTTCTTTGCTTAATTCTTAAGTCCCCTCCGCCAGTGGGCTCCACCCCCGGCCCGCAACGCACAAGCACCGGGTGGCGTCCGCCTTTAAATACCGCCCCGGCCTCCTCGTCCCATTCGTTCCATTCCATTCCATTCCATGATTTCCATCTCATCCCACCCCACCACCCACACCCACAGCAAAGCAGAGCCCTCCCTCCCTCCCTCTCTCTCTCTCTCCCTCTCCAAAAGCACTAGGGTAGGTCGTCGTCACGTGAGGACATCGCTCGTCAGTGATCCACACGTACAGCCCCAGATGGCGGTGGAGTCCGACAGCGGCAGCCGGGCGGTGCAGCCCGCCGCCACGGGCGGCAGCACGGAGCCCGGGCTCGGGAAGCGCCTCATGACCGTGCTCCGCGCCGTCTACCACATGCTGCGCCGGGGCCTCTGCCGCAAGCGCCTCATGATGGACCTCCACCTCCTGCTCGGCCGGGGCAAGCTCGCCGGCAAGGCGCTGCGCGACCTCCTCGCCGCCGCGCACCACTCCCACCACCACATGGTCGCGCCGTCGTCGTCCCGCGCCGGCCGGGCTCCTTCAGCCTCGTCCTCCTCCGCGCTCCCCGCCGCCGCCACCTCGGGCCTCTCGTTCGTCCCGTACGACCCCCGGGACGTGGAGTTCAGCTGCACCACCACGCCGTCCTACTCCTTCGGCAGCGGCGCCGGTCACCCGGGCCCGGCGCGCGCGCTGTTCCCCTTCCTCCGCGGCCGCCGCCGCGCCCGGGGCAGCGGTGGCGCCGGCGGGTGCGACGGGCTCCACTTCGCGCAGGTGGCGCGCGCGCTCGAGAAGATGCACGCCGCCGACGACGCAGGCGGCGGATCGGGATCTGGCTCCGATCAGCTGGCGCTGTCTTCGCCGTCGCCGTCGGTCGCCGGGGCCACGCCGTCGCCCATGCTGGCGCTCAGCCTCGGCCGCAGCCCCGCCGGGGCCCGCCGCCTGCGCGTCACCGACTCGCCCTTCCCGGTCGACCCGCCCGAGGGCCTCGACGCCCGCGCCGACTCCACCTTCGACGCCTTCATCAGCAAGTTCTACGAGACCCTCCGCCTGCAGCAGGCAGACGCCACGCCCGACAACCGCGCGCGCCGCCGCGGCTAGCTGCCTACTAGCTGGCCAGCACGGACGCCGCATGCATGGCCCATGGCTGCGGCGTGCATGGGCGCGGATTCCCAAGCACGGGGGACCGGACCTATATAAGTACTAAATACTCCTGCTACTGTTAATCACTGTCATGCGGGCCCGGAGTTTTACTGCTGGGCTGCATGTGTAATTTTCTCTTTTGTTTTCTTTTTACTTTCCTCGTCCGTGATAATCGATCTCGAATATATAGGGTCGGTCCGTGAGGAGACGAGATCAATTGGAGATAAAACAAGGGAGGGCTACCTATGGCTGATGCTGCAGCAGCTTAGCTAGCCCAGACCTGTGTGTATTATTTGTCAATGTCATACTATCTGTCTTCGTATGCATATATGAGTTGAAATGGAATAAGTTTTGAACATTTCAGTGAACATATATATGTTACTGTGGGTGAATAATGGGTACGAATTGTTTTTTAAAACTCAGTGATTGTTTATATATGTTCTCCATATATTTTCTGTGGCATGTGTACTATTGTACGAATTCGTGTACGTATATATGCTGTCTTTACCTGCCTCCTCTGACCTTCAAACTATGACATGGAATCGGTATAGCTACAGATCGATGCATCATCATAAAACGTCTGCTGCGAAAAGTATGGTCTATATAGAGACAATACAAGGGCATATTTACATGCACTTTTGTTGCAGGCCAAGATGCCATCCATGCACAGGGCCAAGTTTAACTCAGCTGGCTATGTTTGTTGTGGTGAAACATGTCCATCTTTTTTAAGTGGGTGCTCGCGTAAATGTATGACTTAACATGATATTATTTCAATAGCACGTGACGTGTTTGTCGATAACGAGACGTTCAAAGTGATTTTTATCAATCTTAAGATTTGCTGATCTAATATAATCTTTTACAAGATGCTTATAGGATTCAAAACATGTTAGATCTACATACTCTACTCATAAAGATAGAGTGTGTATGTTCATAGAGACGAGTATGTGTTTAGCTCAACTATCGATCATGTCGCATCCTACATAATCTCGTTACATCAAGGATCGCTGAATATCTAAGTGAGCATCTCTCTTCTCTCTCTCTCTCTCTCTCTCTCTCTCTCTCTCTCTCTCTCTATATATATATATCTTTTGATTTGCTGTCCTCTCGAAAGGGACTGTGCCAATCTCCTTGATGGTTGGTGCTAGCTAGACTTGACAACATTTCCGCAGACATCCTATTCTTTTTTAATATAGATAGAAAACGGAGAATATGAATATCTGCGTAGAATCGTAGATGCATGATCCATCATCATCATATATATCCACAAGTAGTCAAGTACGCACGTAAGAATATGGTGTACGACCAAGAGAATATCTATGCTATCCTATCTGGAACATTTTCTTTGGCCCCGCATGAGGTGTGCAGTGTAACTGCAACGTATATTCAGGTGCAGAATGGGTCGTTATTGTTCGTTGTTGTCCCTTTCAGTTCCCTGGCCCAGCTTTAGGTACGTCCACGTATGCAAATTAGTCCAGTAGTGGGTAAAAGATAGAGCTGAATATAATCTTATACACGTAGACTGCCAATTGCCATGTTGGTGTGGACACGTAAGCCAAGGCGAAATTCAGAGTGTCATCTCATCTGCAACTAACTCGTGCCAGTTGCCGACACGTCATGCCCCCCAAAACATGATAGAGAATAATACACTAGGACTAGGATATGTCATTCTATGCAAATAAAAGAAAAATGTACATGTTCTGTACTGTACTTCTTCCACACAAAAATAATTGTATATCTCGATTTTTTAACGAGTCATTTTTAAGTTTAATATATCAAGTATACAATAAAAATATCACTACCTTTCAAAAAAAATCTGACTTCTAAAATTGTTTTAAGTTAAACTTTTATAAGCTCAACTAAATTTATAGGACAAAAATTCCAACATATATGACATAAAATTAGTATCATTAGATAAACTATGGAATATATATTTTCATATAGTATACTTATTATAAAAGTTTGACTTATGACAATTCTAGAAATTGATTTATTTGGATACGAAGAGAGTTTGGCATATAATAAGTACCAAGCAGATTAATTGTGCCATATATTTTTTCCATTATTTGAAAATGCGAATGCTGATATTATTTTGTATAAAATTTGTTTTACTTACCAAAGTTTGACTCTTGAGAAGCAAGGTGTGCGGTTATTTTGGAACCGGGGCATCACTAGTCTGACCACAGGTTAGGCCCAGAGGTAAATTTGACTGAACGAAGTTGTTACTGCACGTGCACGGCCGGTCTGGTGGAGCACCGGCCTGGCTGGTAGGTTACTTGGCCATGTTTAGTTCTCCCATTTTTTAGAATTTGGCAATATAAAAAAGAAGATTTTCTGTCACATCAAGTTTACGGTACATATATGGAGTACTAAATGTTGACGAAATCAAAAACTAATTGCATAGTTTGGTTGTACTTTGCGAGACGAACGTTTTAAGCCTAATTAGTTAACGATTAAGCAATTATTACCAAATAAAAACAAACGGCACTGTAGATATGTAGATACAGTGATTCGGCTGCAGCCGAATCGGCCGAACTAAACGCGGCCTTGGAACTGCCAGGGAGGCGAAGGCACGATTGCCGATTGGTGCTTGGTGCAGAAGCGAACAAACACACAGGGGGTCTAGGGACTAGGGAGGCCCTGACGCGGATGGCCCACCAGCCGCACTCGCTGTTCGTCCTGACCCCACCACCATCGGCAGCAGCACGCCCGCGCGGGCGGCCGCGGAGCCGATTACCTCCCATGCCAAGACTGTCTCCGAACTGCAAACCTATTCCTCCTTTACGTAGCGCTGAAGATTCAATACTTATTTTTTTATTTTTTTATTAACAAAACCTAAAAGACAACTTTTTCTGCGAATAGGTCTTTAGAAGAGAGGATACTCAGATTTAGGTTATGTCTCTTCTGACACCTAAAATAAATCTTCCATATAGATACTCTGCTGAAAACTATAATTATTGTGTTGAAAATCTATTTTAGATTTGGGTTCTCCGGTGGGTCTCTGGAGACAACGGCCTGTTCAGCTGGTATTAAAACCGACTGATAAGCTAGTTAAAACTGATTTATTATAAGAGAAAAATAATGTAAATCATAGACGATAACCTCAAACGAACATGCCATAAGCAAACGCGCGCGGTTGCCTTTTTCGCGGTGGCCCGCGCTGGACTGGAACGCCGCGCCCGCGCGCACTGCGGGTGCTGGGCTGCTGGCTGGTCTCGTCCTCGACTCGTCGTCGCCGCCGTCGTTCCATCACGCACGCGACTACGGGAGGCGGCGAGCTGGGCGACTCGGGCGAGGCAGCGACGCCTTTTTGCTTTCGTCCTCACCTCACCTGCCGTGTACCAGCCCCCACCTCCAGAGAGACGACAGACCACACAACGAGATCGTACTCCGTACTTCCCGTGGTGGTGGTGGTGGTCTTTCGTTGTGTCTAATAAATCCATTCAGACGGGGCATGAGGACCCTTTTCTTCTCGCGAAATGGGCATGGTTGGGTCTAGCATCTACGTACGGGCGTACGGCTGGACGGCCCGTCCGGGCATGTAATTCAGGTTTCCGAAAATTGGGTTTCTCGAAATTGACACCCGAGATTTGTATAGAAAAGAAATACTTCGTCAGTGTCGTCTCAAACTACACAAGGCTATAGCACGGTTACAGGGATCAAAACAGACGGAAACGGGTGGACAATCACCTTATCCATTTATGCTTGCGCATTTTTGTTGGGAGGGAGAGGGAGTGGGAGCGGGAGCACAAAAGGCAAAAATAGAAAAAAGGAACAGAGTAAACAGAGGTATACGGAAATGAACAAACTATGGTATTCAATGAAAACGGGCCGGATCCGGGAATTACATATTCAAATGTTCAGTCGACAGTCCATTTCTGAATGCATACAGCAGCAATCAAGTGTTGGTTACTCCGTATGTCATACCATGTGGTCTGGCCTTTGGCTGGCCGCCGACGGCTGCATCGTCGGCTGCAGAACAGAGCAGCTACCAGCCAGCGCCCTGAGCCATCCACAGCCGGCAGGCCGCGGCGACACCAAAGCAAATCAGCAGTAGGTAGTCCACAGCCCTCTGTCCAGATCACCACAATAATCACACGAGTGCTCTAATAATTACCACAAATAAGTTACAAGTACCATAAACGAGTCCTGAGTGTGCTAGAACTACTTTTGATAAATCTGTATATGCGACTGCAGCAAAATGAATAGAATTGCTCTTGTCGTACTAGGAGCTGCAGCTGGCTAGGCTTTTTACAGTAATGCTTCAATCAGAGAGTGTTCAAGCAACACTTACAGTAATATTTGTCTTTTTTTTATTAAAAAAACATAGATTGTTCTTTTTAGTGTATTCTAGTCCTAAAGGATTTGAAGAAAATGTATCTCTTCGTTAATATCTACCCCTTATTACAAAACCCTATCTTAACTGTTTTTTCTTATTAATTGGCACTCTGCTGCATCACCATGAGGAGGGCTCTCTCTCTTTCCATCATTCTTCATCTCACGTTGAGCTCTTCACAATGTCTATTTCCATCAATCCTTGATCTCACGTTTACTGTGCATTGAGCTATTCGCAATGTCTGTTCCCATCAGTCCTTTATTTCCCGTTTACTGTACATTGAGCTATTCACAATGTATACATGGGGTTGGAGCAAAGAATTATGATGCCTTGCAGTAAACCTGGTGAAATATGAAAGTATACCATTTAGTGGTTAAAGTGTAACAATGCTTCTTAAAAAAAAAGAGTAATGTCAATTTAGTAGACTATTCCTGCATCACAAAAGAAAAAGGTAACAGGATTACTGGCAAGTCAAAACATGAAGTTTGAGAGGGTAGAATTGTTAAGGATATCAATCTATAAACTCTGGATGAGGACCATACAAGAAGTTACTATTTCCCCATAGCGCAAGAGAACAAAATTATTAACTAGCATGATGCAAAATATCATTGTAGCAGAATTGATGATTATATAGAGTAAGGAAAATAAATACATAGAACCAGAAGTTAGAAAAGCATGAAATATGCACAGCTGCCGACAAGCTTGCTAAAGTGAAAATGCTATAATTAACAGATAGATGTTCAGAGAATGATAGTTTTACCTTGATATCCCTGTTGGATAATCCAACTATCAGCCTTTCATCCCAGGGCAGTATCGAAGTTATAATTGAGTCACAAGTAATGGAAGCGACGTCTCGGAGTTCTACCTCTGACTCATCATCCAGTAACTCCTATGGAGTTAACAAAAGGGAAAGAAACTGAGGTACAAATTACATGTAAGCAAGACCTTTCATGGAAGATTACATACCACAAAGCAAGTAAACATACCTGAATATTTATGACTTTATCCCATCCACCAGTATAAAGCCATTTGCCACTCAATTTAACTGCATAAACAGCACCATTTTGAAGCTTTTCTGATTTGACAAGCAAATCGTTCTTCCAGATCTGATTTCGGAAAGAGGGAAACAAAACACTTGAGATTTAGAAAAGAACGCCATCAGGATTTAGAGGAAAAGAGTATGCCAATTTTTTCGGGGATAGCAAAGTCTAAGGTTCATGATTCAAATTTAGGTCAACCTTAAAATAGCCATTCTCATATGACGAAACAACAAAATTGGCTTCTACTGAAATTGACAATACAGGGGCTATGCTTCCTGCTGTATCATCTTCCAGTACAGACAATGGTGTATGATCAGTGAGCCACCATAAACGAATGGTACCATCCCAACTTCCACTGTAAAGAATACCACTGGCCACTACAAGGCAAGACACAGTTGATTTATGACCTGTCATGGTGCAGCGAAGTGAATAATCCTGCCAGAGTAGCATACTGAATTAACTCCATAGAACTGGTCTAATTATGTTGAATTGACAACAAAAAAAGGGTGTACCCAGTGCAGAGAGTTCCCGCTCTGTGCGGGGTCTGGGGAAGGGTGTCAGTGGCAAGCCTTACCCTCGCCTGTGCAATGCGAGGAGACCGCGACTTGAACCCGGGACCTTCCGGTCACAGGCGGTAAGACTCTACCGCTTGCACCAGGCCCGCCCTTCTTGAATTGAATTGACAACAAACTCGGTAAAAATTATGAAAGCCAAAATGGGCATAGTTGTTATTTATTACATATAAAAACTAACGATCCAAGGGAAGAACCAGTACAAAGCATTAATGAAGCAAAGCTTAGTACCTCTAGTGACCAAGCCTTGATAGATTTGTCTCTGCTACCAGTGTAAAGATAACCAGTTCCAGAGACAGCCAAGCAGTTAACCCCTCGATAGAGCCAATCATTATGTTCGTACCATTTATTCAAAGGTTCTTCCTTCATAGTGGAATCTACATGCCAGACGAAAATTCCGCTACCACTGTCTCCACTTATACAAAGAGAGTGGCTGTCATTGTCAACAGCAACAATTGCTGTAATTTTGTGTTCATGACCCTTCAAACACTGTAAATGAGAGAAGTCCTGTGGAACAAATAGAACGAATAAAAATCAAGAGGAGACACTAAAACTAGGAAATGAAGTGAAATGAAAAATAATTACGGACATATACTGTGATTTCTCATGGCAGGAGCAAGTTATCTTATTTCAAGAATGATAACAGAATAGGAACAGGTTCATACCTGCAGTGACCACACATTGATAGTTTTATCATAAGAAGAGCTAAACAAGAATCCACCTGCAGTGAAATAAAGAATGAAAATAGGCAGTTCTTGAGCCAGCATTACAAAACCCTGTGAACAAAAGAAACCAACTAACAAAATAGCAAATGTTTTAAATATAGACATTAACAGTGTTGGATTTTTACCTCCAACGGCTAATCCTGTTACACAATCACGGTGGGCAAGCAGTGTTGATGATTTAAACACTCCGGCAGACTGTGGGCCATCAATTCCTGACAAATCAATTCCCCTGTTGTTTAAGAAACCATTATTACTTCCATGATCCTGATTCAAACTGTTGTCATCAGCTCCTCGAGACAGTTGTGTTTTATCATCTGACTCAACAGCACCAGAGTCAGCGAACATCGACGATAACTCCCCAAGGAGTAAACATCTAAAACTCTTATGAGCTGCAATGTCATCATCAGGAGCTAAAATAACATCACCAGATTTTGTTAACAAGCCTCTAATACATTTCCAAATATCAGCAATCTCTGGACGGCATTTTGGATCATATCTCAAGCACGATGCTATAACTGCAGCCAATGGTTCAAGTACCGTACCAAGTAATGAGGCATCAAGCCTTGTAACTACTTCCTTCTCCCAATCATCATACAGTCCTTCAGAGTTCCAACCTGCCACAAGCTGCTCATCCCTAGTAAGAAGTGCCACGAACACACAACCCAACGACCAGATATCCGAGCTACAGCCAACCAAACCATCAAAATCGCAATCCTTCGTCCGCAATGTGTCACCTAGCACCGCCGCCACCTCTGGAGCGATGAAAGCTCGAATACTGTTTGAGCTAGGCCCTGCTTGGACTCCCCGGCACAATGCCAACGCTTGATTCAAATCAAGCAGGCAGTGCCCAAAGCGATCGAGGCAGAAGCAGTCCAGGCCGAGGCACCCCAACACCAGCCCCTCGCTGTGCAACCCCATGATCACTTCACATGCCTCCATTACTATGAATCCGGTCTGCACCACCGTCTCCTCCCTACTGATAATCTCCTCTTGCAACAATTGGGAAACCGTACGTGGGTGCCGTTCAGAGACCATCCACAGTGGCAGCGCGTCCGGGGACATCCAGACCCCGTAGAGCCTGCACACCAGCCGCCCCAACAGCGCGGAAGAGACGATCAGACCGGCCAGCTCCTCCTTGGCCGCGTCGCTGAGCGCGTCGATCGCGGCGAGCACCCGCGCCGCGTGGCTGGGCCGGTAAAATTCGTCTCCCTGCTTCGCCGGGAGGACTGCTTGGGCCTCGATCGGAAGGAGGCTCACGAGGCGGCCCCGCGCGCAGAACCATGGCTCGCCGAGGTCGGAGTCGAGGGATCCGAACGCGAGGTGGACGGGGCTTGGCTCGGAGCGGAGCGGCGAAGCGGACTCAGGGAGGATGGCGTGGCGGAAGCGGGAAAGGAGGCGCGAGTGGGCGGCGTGGAGCGGGAGCTGGCGGGGACGGGGAGGCGGTGCGGTGCCGGGGGTGGCGGTGAGAGCGTGGGATGGGGAGGGAAGAAGCGCGAGAAGGGCGAGGTTTTTGGGGAGGGAGGAGGGGCCGAGCGCGCGGGCGAACGGGACGCACTGGGAGCACAGAGGGCAACGAAGGGAGGATGCGCCTGCGGCAGCGGCGGAGGCGGGCGGGAGGGCGGCGATGCAAGGCCCGCAGAGGGAGTGGCCGCACGGGAGGACGCGCGGCACAGCGGAGGCGGCGTCGAATGGGGAGAGGCACACCGGGCACTCGGGAGGTTCTGCATCCACCGGTGGCGCTGTGGTCGCCATGATCGTCGTCTCCTCAAATCGGCGAGGCTGTGGGCAGCCGGCAAGGGATCGGAGAGGTGAATTGCAGCGCCCACCCTGGCGGCGACTTCGGAGGAGACGGCGGGTCCGGGATATACCCGTTGCTTAGCAGTGCCCACCGCGGCGGCGGCCGGCGGGTAGATTATAAATAAAATAATAATAAATACGAGTAATTAACAAGGTGTCTTATTTGGAATATTTCGAACAAAACAGCAGCCAACACAAAGACTTTCAGTTGTTGCATATATAAAAAACAAATAATCGTTCCACTTTGTCTGCAGATATAAAGAAAATTGCATGATGGCTTGCAGGTCGTTGTATCCCTGAAAATCATGTTCAGCTTCAGCCAAAGCAGGCCATGCTCTCAAATTGATAGCATCAGTTGATATCCTCTCTAATTGACATCATGGTTATATTATGCCATTAAGTGGAAAAATAACAATGATCCCAATTCACAATAGTATAATTGTCACAGTTGATACAACTGTCACTCACAGTCTATATTTTGTAACAATTCAATTTTAGGGCATCAATATACAATCTAAAATCAACGTTTAGTGGTCACAATCTCTTTTAATATGCAAATAGGATCCGGGTCATTTCCCCACAATCTATATAGAATTTCAACCATTCAGCAATCAGCATGTCATTTCAAATTATAAGTCATCCTGTTTTTTCTAGGTATATAGGTTTATTACATGTCTAGATATGCATCATAACTAGATATATATATACATACTAAAAGCTCCCTTAAAAGCTACTACGTATATAGAAAAAGTGAATGACTTACAATTTAGAATGGACGTCTCAGGACAAGCATCTACAAGTCTCGGCACCGCCCCTTGTTTTCCATCCCATAGAAAGACACCTTTTATTATGTCATCTATTTGGTGATTATCATCGATTTTGCACATTCTCCAGTTGATTGGAACATTGAAACGTCGGATCTAACAAAATGATTTCTCGTATTATCAAATAAATTGCGGCTGCCAATAATTCCAGGAAGCTTTACAAGTGCTATTTTTGCAGGTAAACATTGAACCGGAGCTAAGGACGACTAGGGAAGTGTTAAGGAAGGTTCACTCCCTTCCTTTTCTCCTGTAAGAATAGTAGCATGTACTAGGATATTATTAGTTGTGTTTTGCAGCATGGCATTGGGCAATGAAACATCTAGCCAATCTAGGATGTATCAGTTGGCCACAACTGGAACGGTGTGAAGAAAATAAAGAGAGCATCATCCACGTGTGTTGAACATTAGAAGTGGCGCTTTTAAAATTCTTTGTTTTTTTTTATTTTTAACACTTTTTTAAACTATTTTTAAAAATGACACTGTTTATTTTTTTTTTCAAAATTAACACTTTTGGACGCGTATATTTGCATGGCGCGGTGAAACAACTCTGTCACGCCATGCATGGCGGCGCGACAGGGGTGCGTACGTGGCAACGTCTCGCCCCGTTGGTTGCTGACATGGTAGGCCTTGCCACGCCACCGATCATGGCGCGGCTGTGACGCGCCACCGATCAGGGCGCGGCAGAGCCAAATAGAGGCCAGTCCCTTTCTTCCTGTCTGTTTCACTCCTTGCCACACAGCAGCCGCCTCCGTGCCGCCTAGCCCCCGCCGTCGCGCCTCCCAACCCGCACCGCCGCGCCATTGCCTCCCGGTTCTCCAACGGCTAGCCTCCGAATTTTCCTCCCTTGCCGGCCCCCTCTCTACCTTGCTCGAAGCTCCTCCTCAGCCTTGTCAAGGTAATGAAGCTCCTCCTTGACCTCCACGGTGGATCGAAGGATTTGAATGAGTAGTTAGGGTATAGAAAAAAAAATATAAGTTCGTTAGAACGTTGGATTGAATGATTAGGATTATGATTGCTAAATGTTAAGGTTAATTGGTTAGTTAGAATTATAATTATCATGTATTTGCTTGTTTAAGTTTGCATCTCAACTTTTATATGTGAATAAATATATGGACACACGGTTGATGTACCAAATTTTATTTTTTACTGACCAAAGTATAGTTTTTATATAGTTTTCATGTTTTTATCTAAGATGGAGTTTGCACCAAAGTGTAGGTTATATTTTATTTGTTGTAATGCAAATGGTTTTTATTGACACTAATTTGTGATGTTTTGATTTTTGTTTATTAAATTACAACCGTTTTGTTAGATACAAGAAATGTATCGGGAAGAGTTTTGATAAAAACGGGGTCGTCCTCGAGAATTATACCCCGACGCGTCTAGCAAAGATGCCCCCGTCCCTCCTAACCTCCCTGTCCCTAACTGTGACTGTGGTTTCCCGGTCGACGTGTTTCAATCGAGACATCCAGACACAGCGACGTGTTGCTTCTACACATGCAGTCATTTTAATGTAAGTAATTATGTCCACTATCTTTTTTCTTCATTTGTGTAAGTAGGCTATTAATATTTTGTTGGAATTTTATTGTGTAGAATCATGAGAGGTGCTTTTTCTTTTAGTGGATCGACGGTGCAGAAAAGTCTGACCCTAGGTACCTCCTTTTTGACGATTGGTGTAGAGGGAGACATCCACGTGAGCACTTCCAGCGTTGGGTTCCACCCCCCCTAACCCCCCGCCAATGACGGCTAAGGAGAAGCACCTAGCCATAGTTAGACGACTCGAGAAACCTCCTCTGTGCGAATGCGGAGATTGAGCTATGATAAACCCTGAGAATACGTTGGAGTTTGTGTGTCTAAACAAACACGAAGTAAGTAGAAAGTGTATCTGTTTAAACATTTATCTCTATATGTGTGCGTGTACTAATGTATTCTCTTGTAGCGTTATGGATTTGTGAAGTGTCGTTTCAATGAGTGGCTCTATAGTCCTAAGAATCAATGATCAGAGCCACCAAAGTTAAAGGAAAAGAAGAAAAAAAATGTTAATTTACAAAGCACCTCCAGTCAAGTGCGAATGTGGTGTTAAATCCAACTACGGTCTAGTCCCTTCGGAGCTTGGAATATGCCATTATTACGGCCATATGGTTGACTATGATGAGGTTGGTTATTTTTGTGGTAAATATGAAATCGTATTTTGTTTCTTTTGCTAAGACATATATAATATAATTTTTTATTTGAACAGAGCACTAGAAAATACAGGTGGGAATGTTATGATGGTCAAGCTAAGTTCTTGGATGAACTGAAGGAGAGGCAAGTAATTGCACGGAAGAGGGGATATAGATCTGACTACGTCAACCTATTCGTTAAACATCATAAAAACAAGATGCGCGAGTTTGCTAGACAGCGTGGTATTCGTAACCCGATCGCTGTTGGGCTTGACAAATGGAGATTGGAGAGACGGAGTGCGTTAGAGGAGGAGAGGGCAAGGAAGGAGGCAAGAGAGGAGAAAAGAGTATAGATGCAGGTCTTGAACGACTATGTTGTTGCATTATGTGCCAGTGAGTCATTGGAAGCCTTGTTATTTTCATTGCCTGCTTTTAAATGTAATATAATCACGTTGCTAACTTGTTGCATTTCATACATGAAGGGATTAGATGTAGCGAGGACCATGCCGCAGATGTGGCCCGTGCAAGATTTGAGGAAAAGAAGTTACACGAGCACAGAACATGAGCTGGCCGTACCGTTCAATCTCCGATTGTGTTGTCTGATGAGGGGGACGAGGATGAGGACGACACTGCCAGGTTGAGCGATCTCATCGCTCTTGCTGAGGTGGGCTTGCAGGCGGAGAAGGTTGAGGACAACACTGGCAGACTGAGTGAGCTCGTCGCTCTAGCAGAGGCGAGCTTGCAGGTGGAGGAGGATGACAACGCGTTCTTCACTCAGGCCATAGAGGCTGCAAATGAAGCGGAGGCCGCTTACTACAGGCGACCGACAGATCAAGGCAATGCAAGTGAGCCTAGCCACATGAGCCAGGCGGAGGAGGACGCGTTTTTGACTCAGGTCGTAGAGGCCACAGGTGAAGCGGAGGCAGCTTACTACAGGCGACAGACAAATCAGGGCAATGCAGGTAAGCCTAGCCATAGCAACGAGGTTGTGGTAGAGGACTGGTACTCGGATGACGAGTTACTTACTCAGTATGTTTTAGACTGAGGGTTGGTACAGATGTGCTAGTTCAATGTTTTAGATTTGGTATTTGTATCGTAGTAGAACTTTCTCGGTGCTGCATTGTGTTTCATTTGAACTATTTATGTATTGTACCCATGTAACAAACAATGTTTAATTTTTATAACATACATTGTGTTATCTCATAAAACTTTCGCCACAGAAATGGTATTACAATGCTGCTGCTGATGCGCTCAGAAGGGAGTCTAGCTAGCGCCTAGCATGGGTTTGCCACGCCACCGTCCACGGCGCGGCAAGGCTGATGCGCAAGCAGCCATGGCACGGCAAGGCTGACGCGCCCCCAGCCATGGCGCGGCGGTCAAAGCGGCAACAAAAGGAACAAGGCACTTCTGTTATGTCGTTGTGTCGGTTTAACGAATAGGTCAACAGGAAGGTTAAGTGCACGAGACAATCAATACACAAGTTCAGCAATACTAACTTGTACACGTCCCAAGTTCATCGCAAGTTCGACAATACCACTGTTCGACACAAGTTTAGCAAGTCATAACTACGACACAAGTTCATCAATACATGTTCCATCAGTATATGGGTGTCCGAGTACAAGTGCATCATGTCATCCTAAAGAACTCCTATGACCCAGGAGTATATGGGTACCGCGGACATCGCTGTCTCTTCGGACGTGAAGGCAACACGTTAGGGGTGAACCCAACGTCGGTATAGTCTCACTGGCGATATACCCGGTGGTACTGCTGAGTGTAACTAGGACCCTACAATTACAATATAGGCATCATTACTTACAATGTTTAAGTAATGGTGATGTATATGTCGAAGGGTTGTTTCAAGTACCTGTTCGTCAAACTGTGTAGGAAATGGTGCATCACCAAGCTGACACATCTCAATCTCATCGTAGTCCTCCTCGTCCTCCTCATCCTCGTCCTCCACAACGTCGTGCTCC